GTTCAAGTCCTTCACGGTGTTTTGTGACAGCAGACAGTGTGGGTCTGACAATTAGGAAAAATGAGTTTGAGTTTTGTCTCAGAACAGAATGATGAAAACTGTGGCAATATTTCAATCCAGTAAATAGTCCGAGCTCTAGTCTGGAGCGGCAGCAGAAATAGTGTTCAGTATGCCATAAGTATAAATAAGAGAAAAACTATTACTTTATTACAATGAGCAAAATCAACTGGGACATTACACTTATAGCTGAAGTAACTAAGGCTGCTGGAGTTGAAATTTTTCTTGGCTAAACACTTTTTGTGTGTGAACAGGAAACTTTTTGGAGGTTCCTTTGAGATCAGTAAAATGTGTTATCTAATCTGGTGTGATAAAACTTTGCATTCCTCTGCTGTACTTTTGTTACAGAATTTGAATCAAATGAAAACAACATGTTTCAATATATAGCAAAAGTATTCTTCTTATCAAAATATATTATTTACAAATTGTCTCAAAGATAAGGATAATACAGAAGAATTATACTGGGAAATGGAAAAGAGTCCAAAATTGCATTCTTACACAGGTGTTGAGTTATATGTTCCAGTACGCTTCTGCCATTGGATTTAACTTTATGGGGTCAGAACAGTGTATGTTAATGAAAATACATGAGGTACATGCAGCGAGACCATGTATTTCTGTATTTGAACTTTTTTTTTTGTTTTCCAATAAATTTATCAAAATAAAACTTTTTTTGTTTTGTTTTTTTCTTTCATTTTGTATGTTTTTATTGCACTGAAAAAAAACTAACAAAAAACGTGCTCTTATTCTGAGCAAGCTTGCATCTCCACAAACTAGACTCTTATTTAACCTGATGCTGGTTTCCATGGATATATTGCTACAGTCTTCCACTGTATGACTAAAAACAAATCTATGTAGAATGTTCTGAAATATGGTTTTAACTTTCTATTTCCATGGAATCGTGCGAGCGATGTGCCACCTCTATAATGTTACATACAGTATCTTAAATTTGGTAATATGGCACAATAGAGCTGATAACATTTCTCACCTCACACCAAAAGGTCTTGGGTTCAATTGATTGAAGTGATTATATATTACGGCATAGATTTGCACACAAATGTCAAAAATTGTGCCAAATCCGTAGGAGGATTCCATGGATGCTGTCTCCTACTGCCCTATAATTATTGAAGGATGGGACAAATGCACTAGGAAAACTACAGGGACAATGACGTAGACACAAAACCAGAGACACAAAAAAAATCCTACAAGTATCAAATCTGCAATGTAATCTGTTCCTTAAGGTTTATCTAGTTTATACTAAAAGCGAATTATCCTAGACTGTTTTACTTGTGGCTGCGCTGTGTCTGGCCTTTACTTCATATTTGGGGACTTTCTGTACACTGGTGCCTCTGCTGTTACTAATTATTGTTAATTTTGAATGCATAAACAACACACTGAACCCCTTTAATCAGAGGCAAGCTTGTCATCCACAGGTTAAACTCGATCCCTCCGCTGTTTGCTGCTGTGACCATTCTGATATAATTACAGATCCAGAATATATTTGGAGTTTAAAGTGAACAAAACAAGCCTCTTGAAAATGTCGTCCCAGGCCACGGGGAATTATGCATGGATTGTTCCAAGGCTTTCTGACATTTTATGACCAAATAAAAATTGATTTAGTGGACAAAAATGGATTCCTTGCTTGATAATGATCATCGGCTTCCTTGGCCTTCCTCCATTTTGAGTTTCCTTGCATGAGATCGGACTGAATCGCAGTACATCCAGCCTATTTATAGTGGTCCAAATCATGCGCACCTACATGTTAACAAAATGACCTCATTCTCTTAAAATAGGACTTTGGATGGATTTAATAGTAGTAATTGTGGCAGAACCAGTGGTAGTTGTAACAGAGGAGGGTTTAGTATTAGTAGGTGCGATAATTAGTTTTAGCTGTTGTAGAAATTGGAGTATTAACAGCTTGAGAATATTTCATTGACCGTAGTAGCAGAAGTAGTAAGTGAAGAAGCAGCAGAGGTGATATCTTTTAAAGCATTACTTGTAGTTTGTGTTATTATATTTGACGTGCATGTTTTAATATGGACTTAAAGATGCACTATGTATCTTGGTCTGGCCACCTGCTTGTCTCCATGGAGATCTTATTGCTTTGCCTGAATGTTCCACAGTATGGAGCAATATGGAATCTATCTCAAAATTCAGATCTGTGGAGTGGAGACCCTACTCATGGTAAGAATACATACTTTTCTCCCTCCTCCCCCTCTATAATAGCTTAGTTTAATGCCGTACTATACACCATTGCAGGCAAAACAATAATATCTCCATGACGACAAGCAGATGACAGCACACCTCACCAGAAAAGTTACATAGTGCACCTTTAACGTTAACCTTGAGAAATGTAAAGTGTTTAATATAAATTAAATGTAGGCCTTTTCCTAGTGGTGGCCAGTGCAAAAGCAACTGTAAATTTGAAATTAAATTTGAAATGCGACCAAATTAATCAAATACAGTTACGTTGAGTATTTAGCTTTTGCTTTAATGAAATATATAATTCAGTAATGCAAGTACTTTTATAATCTAGGGGCATTTGCAAACTAACTTCCTCTTTTTCATTCACTGCAGTGGATCAAGTCTAAAATAGGAGATCAGATGAGTTCTCAGTGGTAGACAGCCTGTTTGGTCCATTACTCCTGCCCTGTGTGTCACGCTGCAGATTAAAGCCTTTATGTTTATACAGAGGAATGTGCCAGTCCATTATCTCACACAGATCCCTTGTAATCCGCTCACACAAAAAAATCTGTTTATGCCTCTCTACTTTATTCACTCTTGGAAAATATGTTACTGAATAAATACTTTTATTAGAAGAATGTACCTCTAATGTGAAGTTTCTGGGAAAGATTTTCAGTCAAAGAGAAAGAATAACTGTTCAATTTCATTATTTATAACTGTAATTTTAGTCATGTAGTGATTTAGTGATTACAATATTACAGTATCAAACTTGAATCTCAATACTGATTCCGATACCACGATAATAATAAAAAAAACACTCTTTCTTTAGACAATAGAATGTGATTTTCAACATTAAATCATAGAGCTATTCAGGAAAGGTTCATTTTTGTCCCGTGAATGTGACTTTTTTAGTATCGATACTGCTCAAATAAGTTTTCAATATTAGTTTTTGTATCGATTAGTATCTGATTTTTAATACTTTTGACAACCCTACTACAGATTCAATTTCTTTCTGTACAATAACAAATAGACCAGTAACTAAAGCAGACAGAATCATTAAAGCTAAACTTTCAACAGCCTAGTTCAGTACATCAGTGTTTGTAGTTGGCTATAAGTTGTTGTAATGCAGGTGTAGTATCTCTATTCAAGCACTAACTCTTACTTTTCCATCTACTTAAATACATTTATTGGAAGTGTCACTACATATTTTGTTTTATTCTTTCCTCCTTTATATTGCCACACAATACACCACAGGGCTAATAAAACCTGACAGCTCTTTTACATATTACAAGCGGTCTGGTATGCACACCGTGTTCTTACAGACTCACATTCATGGTCTTTGGGGCAGTTGGTTTGTGCCCACACAGCTGCTGTTATATTGCCCACTCTTGATTGGCCAAGGGCAGATCAGGTATCTCCATGGGAGCTTTTGATTGGCCTATAATGTATCAGGTATCCCCAGACATAGTTGGCTATTAGAGCTAGACATGCCAACTCGATGGCAACTGGCCCCTGTTTGGCATCACTATGGAAACCTTCAGATCAGCTGTAGTTAGGCGGTTGAGGATGCAAAGAGCACACTTGGCACTTCCCTATTATTACAGCCTCCCACACGCACCCATGCAAATATAAATACGTATACAGTGTAATTAAAGACTGCAGTGATTGGCTGTCAGTGCATTGTTTGAGCGAGGCTACGTAAAGTATACGGCCTGTCAACTCAAAACGTCGCGTTGCAAAAATAATCTCTGTAACCAACGCGCGTATCTTAAAGTGTCTGTTATCTGCCATTTCCAATTACGCTCAATGCCCACTGCTATTTTCTAGGCATCGATCTCGTTCTGGCCATTAGGGGGCGACATTGATCGGGCAAATGGACTCAAATGAAGAGCAATCCGGCTCCTCTCTGAAGCAGTCTCTCCCTCTCTCTCTTTCAAACACAGACCAACTATAGGCACAAAAGGGGCACAGACATGGACATGATCAATTATGTGTCAAGCATTTCTTCCTCATTGAAAGACTGGCGCAATGACTATAGGCTACCGACCGGACTATTGTCTATTGACACTGGAGACGGAGTTCTCATGCAGTTCATTATCCCTAAAGGGGACAGCCAGAAAGAGATCCAAAGAGGCCATTAATCATCATAGCCTTCAAAGCACAAGAATGGACCAAAATAACTGATACTGTAATCCTATACTGTAAATGCTGAACGTTTGTAACAAGTCAAAACAGTTGTAAATCTGGGGGGACGTCCTCAGAGACACTGAAATGAAATCCCAAGGTTACAACGTAAACATTTGCAATAATCCCCATAGTGAGTTATTGTATGCTACAATTGGACACAGGGAAACGAAACAGATACTGAGCCTGTAGTCCCAGTTTTAAATGCTGCAGACTTTAGTCACTCTAAGCACTTTTACGCGCAGTTATATCAGCCTGTGACGCTGCTCTGTCCCTCTCTGAGTATGACGAACTACTCCAAAGTCCATTTCAATTTGGGTCGATGGCTCGGGCCGAGGTGGAGGGGGTGGAGATGCGGGGTCAATCCTACCCCCTCGCGCGCTCCCTCAGTCCCCTCTGTCTCTCTTTAACCCCCTTCACTCGGATATACCCACCCTCCACGTCCCCATAAATGCCTTTAGCTTACTGCTCCCAACTCCCTGGACAGGGCGCTGTGATTGGCTGTTGATGGTTCCGTGGGCGGGTCCTTGTACTCCACAGCTTCTCTCCGCTCGGGTTACAGTTGAGCTCCAGCTACGAGTCGCACCGGAGTCGCGCGGAGACACTTTTTTTTTTAAACAAGAAATCCCCGCACAACAGCGTGGACATGTTGACGAGCGGATGTAAAGGCAGGCCCAGGGTTGTTTGACTGGACTGTTTTTTTCGCTGCACTTTTATCTCACGCGCGTTATCCGTGCTACAAAACACGGGGTATTAACTCAGTGGCCACACACGGCTCAGCATGCCCGAGTTGGACTAGGACAGGCTGCCCCGGAGGAGCGCAACACTGTGGCACGGCGAGCCGGCAGGATATTTACAACTGAAACTCCGGTCCTTTGAGCAGGAGGAGGTGGTGAGAGATATCACTGGAATGAAATGGACCTCGGGATTCCCAGCGTTGCAGTGGAGTTGTGACTGATGGATGGTCATCTGTAGGCTATATACAGCAGCGACAGGTACAGGCACCATCAGGGGATTTGACAAAGACAAAGCGTGCGCTCCAGCTCTGCCCGTATCCACCGCGGAGTGAAAAATCTCTCTCCACGCACTGGTCCGGGAGGTCGTTTTACCTCTGCCACAGGTCAACCAGGACACAGCTTCTTTCCCAGTTCAGCCAAGGACACTTGGTCTGGCGCACTCACCAAAGTAGTGCCACAATAGGATATGTATTTGATGTCGAGCTCTCATGCTCCCGACTGATCGAAGCTCACCTTCCCACCGGGCGAACCTCAGATAAAGGCTGCCACAAGGCGCACCGCTGCGTCCTGACGCTCGCTTCGAGTTTCCCTCGGCTCTACACCGTCTGCACACACACTCCAGAATGGCGGGACACGGCTCTTGGAAGTATTACCTTTGGATCTTTATTTTGCTGTGCAGGTCGGCGTTACCTTCAGCCAAATCGTTGGAGACTATCATCTGGAGCTCGCAGAACCCAAAGTAAGTCTCTCATTTGGACTGGGCACTTGTGCGTAATGGGCCAACATTAAAGGGAAAAGTTAACTGTGGGCTGGCAGCGTTAAATGCACTGTTAAATTAGGGTCATATAAATACAGAAGAGACTTGTTGTGTGTTCTCTATTTCTATGACCCTGCTGTTACACGCTGCTTTACCACCAAATTCAAATAATTTATGCACCTTGAATTGTCACCCCTCAGCCATGGCGTACTGTGCTGATTTATTTCTCAGTGGGGAATTTCCCAATTCCGAAGAGGCTTATACAGAATACAGCAGGCCCCACTTTAGCCACAATAATAGATGTTTAATTACAGTAATTTATGGCGTTATTACACACCGTTTTATCACAAGGAGACCTGGACGTTCGGACTGTTGTAAATCATATATGTCTAGACCTTGTGTGAGCGTGGCTACTCCTTCCATACTGTTTCATGTAATTGGTATAATTAGCTAAGTAGAATGAAGACTAAAATAATGCCTTGGAAAGCATGCCAAGTGTGTCAAGTTGTAGCCCAGTTTTGTAGATTGAGGATATTTCCTTACTTCTTTCCCATGGGCCCTTTACATTGGCTATACCTGGCACATGCATGAGGCCGCACTGGCTCTGCGTCCTTGAAGTCTCTCAAAAATATCTAGCCATTTCTCTTTAATCAAAATCAAAGGATTAATTGCTTCAAAGTATTTCCCTTTTCCCCGTAATTGTACTGGCTTACTTCCCAAGTATTTTTCAACATCAAGCGAAAAGAAAGTCTAAAGAATCTAAGGAAATAAGTTTAACTCTTGCCAGAAGTTTTTTTTTAATTTATTTTTCTTTTCTGTCCAAAAGTCAAAATATTCCCCATCAAAACAAGCAGACTGCGCCCAGACTGCTGATAATAAAATGCGTTCTGGTAACAATTATCACCCACTTAGGCTCAACTCCCACATTTGCATGAAGTAAGTTGGACAGAACAGACAAGAAAAGGAGCAAGGAGGGAGAGAAAGCACAGAAGGAGAAGAGAGGAGACCTTTTGCCTTGGCTTTTCGGACCGAGGAATCTGACCTTCAGTTTTGGGCTCACAGAACCATAGGGGAAATAGCTTGAATCAGCTCATAACTAGAACTTATTCATTCAAGTGGATCCATGATTTACCCTCCACAAATGTCAGATGTCATAGGAACTGGTTGTGCAGTCAGTATGAAGATTACTGCTGTATCCACTGGTGTGTGTGTGTGTGTATGTGTGTGTGTGGGCCTTGGTTATAATGGTGAAGACTACGGCCCATCAGGATCTATTTAAGTGGAGAGGTAGTGGAACAATGAGCGTATGAACATATCCCAAAGTATTAGGAAAAATGGTTGCAGCAAAAATCTTGCACTGGCGAAAAGTTAAAGTTTAAGATGGATTCAGGGCTGTGTTGAGATAAAATGATAACAATAGCAGCATTAACATTTGGACATTTTTACTTGGATACGTGAGTAGAATATTAAGGAATGTAAATGTTTCTGCAGTGAATGTTAGCAATGTTGTAATAGTCTAAGTAAATGCTTCAGACCTTTTGTGGAGTTGTTGACTTGACCTTTTGCACATCTTCTCTACAAACATTTGGGCTGATTACTGTAAGGGTCGCCCCGGCTTTTGGTATAGGTCATCGCAGTTGTTGCCAGTTTGAATTACTGTCCTTAGTTTTTCAAGTCTGTCTAACTTTTATTTTGCAAATATCACCTTTTTTAAATTTTATATTGAGCCAAGAGACTTACAACTTTTCTTTGGCATCAAGAATTATCTGTACATATTAATAACACCATGCCAAATAACGTCAAATACATGACAAAATGCAGTATTTACAAATATACACACTATAATCAAAAAATGTAGATTATTTTTGAAATTTTGTCAACCTAAAGCTATTGCCAAGTTTGAGCTTATTAAAGACTTTGTTGGCTACTACCACGTTTCACAACAACTTTTAATTTATTATTTTGAATATATTTTTGCCATACTTTCAAACCAACTTATTACTATACTCTGGTAGAACTAATTTCGCAGGCTATACTACTAATTATCTGTATGCAATTGCAGTTGTCCTAAAAACAGTTCGACTTTAATTAATGTGTTTATTTATTTATATATTTGCCATGCTGACAAACTAACTTTTTATCAAGTAACTTAGATAATGTAGAGCAGATTTTTCAAGCCACTTCTAAATTGTAATTACAATAAATCTAAAAATAAGATATGCTTTGAGTTTCCACCTTTTTGTGAGTGTAGCTTGTCACATACAGGGACACTCTTCTCCGGCCTGCATGTATTTCTGACACTGCCCGGTCATGTTTCCGTCTGTCTCTCCGTCTCACTCTGCTCTTTGCGTCTCCTGATATTTCATAAAGTTCACCGTGGAACAATACCGCGCTTCTCCTCAAACTGTTCTCTGCAACCTAATTATCACGCTGCTCTAGTCTCTGAAAAAAAGAAAAACGAAAGTAGGAAACAACAGACAATTATCTTTCCGTGTGCAATAACCAAAGACAAACCTGCTTCTCTAGTGAAACGTATCCGTCAGCAGTGCATCCAATATAGGCAATAAAAACAGGGAATACATGTACGGCAATCAGCATCCATCTTGTCTATTTGCTTTGCTGTAACTGCCTCTCTGTGGCCTATATATTGCTTTGTGGGTGTTGATAGAGACAGTGCAAACCCAATGGGGGAAAAGTACAGTACGGTATCTTTTGACGCATCTAGATTTACGACGTCCAACTTCCTGTGCGCACTTTGGGGAGCACGGCTGCCTGGGTTAATAAATTAATCGGGGGCCCATTCTTGCACAGTGTACCACCACTTCTATACACACAATATCTAACAATGCTCTCCCCACAGGCTATGAGTTATGAGGCGAAAGTATAGGAACGCAGCGGGCTAGAGTCGCTATGCTGTGTGGATGTCTAGGCCAATTCGTCAGCGCTTGGTTGCTCCCCTTTAAGCGTCTTTTACTTTTATGGATTCCTATGAACGGATGCTATCAGTCTACACCGCCCTCCCAATATCAATATCCCGGGTTTACTTAATTGATCTGCTCCCAGCGTGATGCTACAGACGACATACATCATCTAGAAGGGCCAAAATAGCGAAGAGGAGTTTGATCGTTATGCTGGAGGATGTAAGCAACCTTTCTGGCGGTTTTTAAATCACTAGTAATACTTCTATAGCTGGGTTTCACTTGACATCATGGCATTCTATAGATCAATCATATTTAATACAGATGGGTGCTGCAAAAATTTATGAATTTACCTTTTTCAATTTGCGGTAACGTATAATGTTATTAACAGGGAAATCTTGCCCCTCATCTGGGATTATGGCATCATCACATTATAGAATCTGAAAACCACCAATAACCAAATACTTTTACTCGTGTTATCATTTTTTTAAAAACTATTTTGTCAACTTCTAAAGGATAAAACAAACAAGCTATACATATATATTGCATCAAAAACTCTTTATTTTTTACTGTCTGGTTTTGGCAATAGTTTTCATTGGCTTTTTGTAAACAAAAGTCAAAGAAGTACACAAGTCTATTGATGTATTTGTACAAATTTACAACAGTTTAAATCTACTTAAATCTACTTTTATAATTTCTTCTACAAATGTTACCATTAAGTACAGACAGCATACATCATCTAGAAGAGCCAAAATAGCAAAGAGGAGTTTGATCATTTGACTGCAGTCTTTTTGGTGTTTTTTTAATAAATGGTTTAAACGTTATTTGTGGAAGAAAGCTTGATCTGTCGTGTTACTTTGTCCCGCTAAGAGAAGCCTCCTTATAACATTTTGATCAGTAAATCGGATTAGCACTCATTTAGTAGAGTGGGATTTAGCTTGGAAAATGTCACTTTGTTATGACTGATCACGTCCTGTTGTCTTTTTGGCCCGGGGAGGAGGAGGCGTCCCGAGTAAAGCTGTGTACTTTTCTGCGTAGCCTCTCACAAACATGCAGAGGAATGCTGGTCCGTGCCGAGATGCCAATTTAATGATAATCTGACAAGGTTGCGGTGAGAGCCTGTCCCCTAGCCCTTCCTTAGCTAATATTTACCTTGTGACCCGTGGCTAACAGTGTGTTTGCTACAGCTCTGGAGACAAATAAGATGATGGGAAACACACTCGTACACCTCTGAAAGCAGCTAAATAGCCACGGGCGCTAGGCAGAGACACAGGCTGGCTGCTGCTGCTGTTGAGGCTCCAGCACAGAATCAGAATCAGAAACTCTTTATTTTTTTACCGTCTGGTTTTGGCAATAGTTTTCATTGGCTTTTTGTAAACAGAAGTCAAAGAACTACACAAAGTCTATTCACGTATTTGTACTGTTGGTCCAAGTTAAAATCACTAATACTACTTCAATAACTTCTACTACTGTTACCACCTAGGTACGCTGTAACTACTATTTTGTCAGTGCGACTTCACAGGCAATCAGAAACTCTTTATTTTTTTGCCGTCTCGTTTTGGCAATAGTTTTCACTGGCTTTTTGTAAACAGAAGTTGAAGAACTGCACAAAGTCTTTTCACGTATTTGTACTGCTGGTCCAAGTTAAAATTACTAATACTACTTCTATAACTTCTTCTACGTACTACTGTTACCAAATTCACAGTGAATCAAGAACTCTTTATTTTTTTACCGTCTGGTTTTGACAATAGTTTTCATTGCCTTTTTATAAACAGAAGTTGAAGAACTACACAAACTCTATTCGTGTATTTGTACTGTTAATTCAGTTAAAACAAATTAAAACAAAAAGTCTAAATCACCGGTACTACGTCTATAACTTCCACTACTACTGTTACCATGAAATACTGCTATTACTGCTATTCTGACAACTCTACTTTTGCTTCTAAGGAAAATCTAATCTATAAATTCAGAGTGTAAAGTATCCTATGAAAACAAAATTTCCATATTTTTATTACTACTTCAATTTCAGTGAATACTACGTACGCCCTACATGCTTAAATTACA